CCAAACTAGAGCTTTCAATGAGGCAAAACCCTTTTGTTCGGTTAATTTTGAAACACCGGACTAAAACCCATACAGCAGCCCTTGCACAGAGGTGAGGTTGTGGCACGTCCACGAGTATGAAAAAAAACAACACACCCAAGCATAAGGGTGAAGGTGGCACAACCACAAATACATCAAAACAAGAAGAAAAGGGGAAACAGAGAGCTCTCATGAAAAGCATGTAGGTCTTCACCAACTAACACCACCACCAAGAGGGAAGAACTCCAGCGATCTCCACTACAACGGCGACTGTTAATCTTTGAGTCAATACGATAGACGACAGTCATGATTGCAATGTCTTTGAAGTGCATCCAGGACCTAATTGACACCCACCAATGCCCATTGAGATGAGGAAACCTTAATAGAGGGAGGGCCGGCAGAAGGGGCATGAGGAGGTCCAATAGAGGGGACCATGGTCTCGTTACCGGCATTTGGTGAGACATGGCAATCAAGGATCATGGAGAAAGGCAAAGTTTAGGCACTGGCAGTGTAGTTTGCTGGTTAGAACTTGTTTTGATTAGAACAAAAGGAGAACTGCAACATCATGGAACAAGAACTCTTCAATGATGCCTCCAAGAATGTTAATGATGCCAGAGCGTAATCATCGTCTGCCAGCGGGAGCTTAGCAAGGCTTTTCCGAGTCTTGTGCCGAGGATAGTTGCAATGACCTGGCAGACCGAGGAGGCAGCAAGAGGTTCTTCAGCGATGCCTTCAACAAGGAAATCGTCATCACTGGCCCAACCTAGAGCAGGGCTGAGCTTTCACCCAAAACCCTCACAAAGCGCTCTTGCAGCTGACGCCCCGACGCTGTCCCACGCTTTTGCCACCATGGCCATGGCATGGTCAACACCACCACTCCGAAGAACTAGAGCTCTGCTCTCCCCTACAACAGGCACAGGGGAGGGCGCCTGTGGACACACGCAGCCCGCCACCTACACGCCCATGACCAAACCGCACGCACAGCGCACACATGTGAAGAAGAGACCGCACCGCTGCCAGGGTACCACCTGCGCCCCAGTCCCAGAGGACAAACAGTGGCTCCACTAGATTTGGGCATATGGTCACTGAATCTAGTGAAGGGGCACCCACAGGCACATAGCCCCGCCGCCGGCATGCCCACGGCCAAACCACGCGCCCAGGGTCCCTGCACACGCACAAGAAGAGCATCGTAGCATAGAGCAGCAGCACCAGATCCTGCGTGAGGACATGAATCAGGTGATGGGGGTGCCTAGCCGCTGGTCTTGTTGAGCAGACTCCCATGTAGGGGGCTCCCACACCCGGGAGCACCACATGGGGATCCCGCAGACGGGGACACCGGCAGGCCGGAGGATGGGATCTCGCTGATCGGAAGTCACGCCGGGGGCGAGTTCGGCAGCATGCATCCGCACACTGTGGAACCCGCCTATCTCCAACACCGCTCCAGCCCGAGGCATAGGCTGCAGATCTGGGCCCATGGTGCCCGGATCCGGCCACCGGTCACTTGAGCTCGCCGGTGGCGACGGGGAAGAAGGGGCACGAGGCAGGGGATGCGCTGGCCGACGGCCGGAGCGAGGCAAATCTATCCACAGGCCGCCCAAGCTCGCCAGAGCCGATGGAGAAGAGGAGGATGAGGCAGAGTTGCTCGGGAGAGAGGAGGGAGGGAGATTGGTGCGAGCGGCTCCCCATTTTTAGGTTGCTGCCGCGGGCCGCCGCCGCCGCTGCACGCCATGGGAGCGGCACAACGGACGGAGAGGAGGCTCGAAGGGGTTGGGCTGCGGCGCTGGTGAACTCCCCCGAGTCGCCCGTGGGGGTGCTCGGTAGGGCGACGACTTCCAGGGGGTTAGATATACAGAAGTTATTAGAGGTAGAGGGACTTAGAGAACGTTTTTATTAGAGGGTAGAGGGATGTAGAGAATGTTTTTAAAAAAATAGCTCTCAAAACGAGAGTGTAGAGCGTGTGGTTATGAAAGTCAGCTAGAGATGCTCTAATTTGTTTGTTGCGAGAACTAAAGTTTTCATTGTAATATTTAGCTTTTCCTACTTGGGAATATTTTTTCTAATGATTTTGTTTATTTCTTTGATTGTAATTATTCTTCCTCAATATGTCTCAGACCAATTGTTTTGTTTAGAGAACCTTTCATTCTCTTTTGGTGATATTAATTCTTCGATAAAGACACTTACAAAATTGCAACCTTAAATTTTGGGTCAGCTTGTACTTTTTCTAGGAAACTATAGTCACTTTTTTCCTGAAAACTTCACCCTATTCGTTGCAGTGTTGCTATGTTCCACTTTTGACCCCGTTCGCTTCACTGGAAAAACAAGCCGAAGCACTATTTTAAGCTGATTTGTTGTGAGAGAAAACACTATTTTCGCTGAAAAAATAATCTAAAAAATACGGATTATAAGATAAACGAACAGTACATAATTGGTATTCTAACAGTAAAGCAGGGCCGTGCCCCATGGGCGTGCAAGCTGTGCACTCGTACTGGGCCCCAAATTCTGAGGGCCCCCAGAACCATGGCCCACCAGGTCCTATCGACTTCAAGATTAGCTACTGATCCCGCGTCTCTTGGTATTCTATACTTTCATCTCAAGCTTCAGAAAATACACCGTTATAAAGTAAAGTTTGTAGCCGGTCTTCAAACTTGTGCAGCATGTGTACTATGCCGATATATCCTTATATTCACAAATTATGTTATTTTGGTGCTTAATCTCTGTGGTTGGTCTCATTGGTCACTAAAATGGGTCTAAGCCCACATGTTAGCTCCATCTATCCTCTTTCGCCTCTCTCATGGCCATGGCTAGACCACGCATCGCCCTGCCACTGCCACCGTCTTCAGCCTTCACACTAGCGATCGTTTCGCGCACGCCACTCGATTGTCGTGCCACACTCAGTGCTGTGACACAAGTTTAGGTTGGAAGCAATTTTAAAATTCGTTTTGAATCTTAGCTAGTATTTACTTAGTTTCAGCTCTCTTTATGCTAATTCAATTTGGTTAGTAGAATTCTTAAAAGAATTCAATATTTTCAGTGATTTGTATTTGCCCTTGCATTAGCGCTTGTTAATTACATAGGAGTATATATATGTTGTATGTATCATTGCTATAGGATTTATTAACGGAGGCCGTCATTTTCTATTGACGCGTCCGTCGGAGGCGGGCGCCATACCCGCCTCCATTAATCCAAGAACAGAACCGAGCACCTTACTGCACCACACCCTCATTCAACTCTATATATAATATGTTATTGTTTTATATCAATATTTCATCATCTTATATTGAATATTTCAACTACTAAATGAACTCAAATGAAAAAACTTTTAACTACAGAGTTCTAAATCTTATCAAGTACTATAACTTTGGTATAGGATGTATCTCCATTATCAGAGATTTGTTTGGAAAAATCAAAAAAATTAAATCTAAAAATATGTGAATTTAAAACAAATATTTGAGACTCTAAACGACTTTAAATAAAAAACTTATCAACTACAAAGTTGTAGATTTTATTGAGGACTGTAACTTTCGTATAGACCATGTCAACAACCGAGATTGTTCTGGGACCCTAAACAGTTTCAATTCAAAAACTTTTTAACTAGAAAGTTGTAGATCACGTCAAGTGCTATAATTTGATATAAAATTTGTCTTCATCCGAGTTCATATAAAAAAGTTATGAATAATTTTTGACGTAACTATTTATGGAGACGGACATCTTAAGACGGTTCATAAATTGATTTTAGAAGACAGATTCTTCGAACGTCCGCTCCGAAAATAATTGATTAACGGAGACGGTCACCTTAAGATACCCGTCTCCCAAAATCAGTGCTGCTAGGTGCACTTGTTTGCGGAAATAAAATAAATATACTCCAGCTCTTAGAGTCTTATAGCAACTCCAACAGACTGAGTAAATGTATTTGTGAAGCCATTTATAGCTATTGTGCTCTAAAAAAAGCATTACAACAGCTTGTCTATATTGTTTTCCATTTTTCTCAGCTAGTTATTCCACCATTCTTGTTGACCATATTTCCCTAGCGAGTCCTGCTTGCTATCTGTGTTTTTCAATTTAGCTAGGCTGTTGTAAAATTCTATATTTTAGATGAGCTTTCTATTTTATATAATGGCTAAATCTCACAATTTAGCATCTAATTTTACCAAGTCTCTTGGAGTTGCTCTCGTATGTAACTTTATGCGATGTTTCGTATCGATGACTCGATCAGTGATTGATGTTAAATCAGGAGTGTAGCTTTCACTTGGATACTTTTGAATTCCGAGCGATTTTCTCGGACCTTACTCACTCAATAAGGTCAAATGTTGAGTATAAAACTAATGCTTCATATCCAAGTATCCAGCGCCACAACACTTTACTACTGGCAAGGAGCTCCCACATATAGTGCGAATATCTACAAACTGCTCTAGCCATAATACAATAGATGGAAAATATTTCATCTTCGCGCGAAGGATAACCAAGCCGAATTGAAGACTTCATTGAAGCAGTGTTTGCAGCAGTCTAACGGAGCTGCTTCATTTCTGAAAATGTTACTATTTCTCACAGTTCAGAACTTCAGATACTCCAACACATCAGCACAATAATCTCTATAAAGAACGAGACCCTAAGTTGGGACTCGAAACTCTCCAGGGCCTCCAGAGGTTCAATCGAATTTGGCACTTGGATTCCAATGGGGAGCGTTAACGTCTGCAGCGACGTCACTGATCACGTATGCTATCTCAGCAAGAGCCACGAGCCGCCGGCTGCCTGCTGCCGGCTTTTGATCCCCAAATGAGGTGGTGCCCCCTGCCCAGTGTCTACTAAACAAATCACCGTGGCTGCTCCGGCCCGTCGTGCTCAGTGCTCACCTTTGCAGCGGGTTCTCTATATATGCGCGCTCGGTGTGCATCGATAGACTCACGAAGCAGCACACACTGCACGCACCAAATTAAAAACTGACGGAGGAACAAGGCAGACGACAAAGCTTGCGCGATCCATCAATGGCGGTGACAAAGATCTACGTTGTGTGCGTGGCCAACCTAGCTAATCATGAGCACCTTAGCTTACAATGCTCTAGTAAATACGTACGAGTACCACTGTCACTGGCAATGTTACGATTCATGCTTCCTTTTGTTGTTGATGACTTTGATCAGGTACTACTCCACGTACGGCCACGTGGCGAGGCTGGCGGAGGAGATCAAGAAGGGCGCCGATTCCGTCGACGGCGTCGAGGCAACGATATGGCAGGTGGCGGAGACGCTGCCGGAGGAGGCGCTGGCGAAGATGCACGCGCCGGCCAAGAGCGAGGAGCACCCGGTGATGATCTCGGGCAAGCAGCTGGCCGACGCCGACGGCATCCTGTTCGGCTTCCCGGCGCGGTTCGGCATGATGGCGGCGCAGATGAAGGCGCTCTTCGACTCCACGGGCGGCCTCTGGCAGAAGCAGGCGCTGGCGGGCAAGCCCGCGGGGTTCTTCTTCTCGCTGGGCACCCAGGGCGGCGGGCAGGAGGAAACGGCGCTAACGGCCGTGTCGCAGCTCACGCACCACGGCATGGTGTTCGTGCCCGTCGGGTACACGTTCGGCGAGGGGATGTTCGACATGGACGAGGTCAGGTGCTGCAGCCCGTACGGGTCCGGCACGTTCGCCGGCGCCGACGGGAAGAGCAGGCTGCCCAGCGACGCCGAGCTCCAGATGGCCGTGCACCAGGGCAGCTACTTCGCCGCCTTCGCCAAGAAGCTCAAGGCCGGAGCGGGCGTCGTCGCCTGAGCCTGCTGGAGTAGTGCTCTCTCTGTTTGTTTCTGTCCTCTCCTCTGCTGGAGTAGTGCCCATCCATCGGCAGCAGCACTAGCATCATGCAGTGCTGCTAGCTGCTCTTGTTTGTGGAAAATAAAATACACTGCCAACCCTGAGTGGCAGAACCATAGCATCTCTAAGTAAGATAAATATACATGAATATTTGTTTCAACAACTTTTCAATGTTTTAATACATGTAGTTAGTATTGATAACAAAAAATCATAATATTACGATACAAAATGGGTGAATTGATGCCTTAATATATGCTAAAAATTGCAATATTTATAGGATATTCAAAAACATTTCTACTGGATTGGGGGCATGGCCCTGGTTCCACCACTGCCATTCTCTATACTAAATTATAGGTTGGTCTGACTTTTCTAAATCACTAAGTTTTTTTATACACCAAGGAGTACGACTCCTCCTCCATTACGTACTCAACTTTTTGCGATGTATCAGTGTCATTGATTGAAGTGAAATCAGGAACGTGTAGCTTTCACTTGGACCACACTTTTGAATTGCCACCGAATTTCTCAGAACCTTGCTCACTCGAAAAGGCCAAATGTTAAGGAGTATAAAACTAAGGCTTCAAATCCAAGTATCCAACCCACAATACTTTACTATTGGCAAGCAGCCCCTACAAATAGTGTGAATATCTTCATTTTTATTTAAAACCCGTTTGGCGCAGCTCTCCAACACTCTGGCTTCTTTTGTTATGTTACTGTAGAGCTAACACAGGCCAAACGGCTATGGCTCCAGCCAAAATGCACCAAGAAAATGAAGGAGCACAATACTGCTACAGATATAGACCTTATTCGCTTGTCTTATGAGCCGTACTATTTTAGCGAACGAACAGTGCTTTCCTCTCACAACAAATCAGCGGACAGTATTTTCAGCCATGACTTTTCAGCAAAACGAACAGGGCCATAGAGGCGAAGCCACATGGAGCCCATCAAATAGACCTTTATAGGAATAAGTTTGTACATGTAATTTTATTTACTCCATCCGCTCTAAATTATAAGTCGCTTTGATTTTTTTATTCATCCATTTTACTATGTATTTAAACATATTATTATATCTAAATGCATAGTAAACTAGATGTATAAAAAAATCAAAATAACTTATAATTTGGAACGGATGGAGTACTTTTTAATTTTTTGTTGTTTCTTTATGTCTCTATTGCATCTACATATGCCTACAATGACAAGAGAGGTGGAGCTTCCATGGACAAATAAAAGAGTCGGAGACCGGTGTGGATGAGGAACTCTCGGAGCCCTGTTTTGAACGTGGGAATAGCGGCTTCACGTGGCTGGCTTACTGGGCGCCGGAGGATGAGGAGGTTTACACACACGATGTTGACGATTCGATTTAACTGGGTAAGGAGAGAAGACCTACAAGTAAATCTAGACATTTCGTTTTAAATGTGTTATTTGTCTGTGTACAGTTTTTTGGTGGATGGATGGGCTTCTCAGTGGGAGCTGTATTTTGGGTTGGTTTAGCAATGAAAAGGATAGTGAATTAGTAGGGTAGAAATATGGACAGGTTAAAAAATTCTTTTATCTAATGAGTTCTACTCATTAATTAGCCTCTATTAGTTTTCATTGGACCATCGATCAGCCTTCTAATTGGCATTCAAAACATGGACTAAGTTTACTCCATCCAAACACCCCTAAGAATTCCTTTTAGTTTTTAGCACAATATAAAGCGATTCCAAAAGACTCAGTTATATCATTGTGTCTGTAGGAATAAAGATTTCAGTGATCTTCAAATATTTTTATCGGAGTAGAGATGGTTCTCCAAAATGTTAAATAAGAGCATTTTTTATATAAAATGGCTGTCTAAATGAGAATTTAGAGGACATGCATGGTACAATTTCCGATAAGGACAAACCAAGGCAACTGTCTCTTTTGCTTCGATAAAACCACTCACAAAATTTTTAATTCCTTGAGTCTCTTAAACATTAAATTTTGGGTTAGCTTGTACTTGTACTACAACTATAAACCAAAAAACTTCACCGTATCATATATATATATATATATATATATTTATATATATATATATATATATATATATATATATAATAAGATCTATAGTTTCCAAGCCAGGAATCACTGTTCTACTGTTTATCCACAGTCACCTCGTCACAGCCGTTCCTCTTTCCTATCCCAACCATCTATTCAATTTGCCTCTATTTTATTTATTGTTTTGCTTCATCCCACCAGCCGCACCTACCGTCCTCCCCGGAAGCTTCTACATGCACCCGGACTTTTCCTTTTGGTATTGCTATGCCTCTGACGTCCGACGGTTCCGGACGCGCGTCGTATAACGATTTGACACGGCGCCGCGCGTCCTCCTCCACTCGTCTCTCACGGGTCTTATCCGCTCGCACTGTAGTTCAGCCCGTCCACACGCGTTCATTTGCCTTTGCCGTTGTTCCTCTCCTCTCTCTCTCTCCTCCCCATGGATCCAGAGACCCACCCCACGACGATTGCGCTCCGCAGCGCCGTGAGCCAGCGGCCGCGCTCCTCCCCGCCTTCCGCCTATCCTCCACACACCTCGCTCCCTTCCTGGCCGGCGGTGGCGGCGTCCTCTCCCACTCCGGCATCCTCCTCCCCCACCATGGCGACTCCTCCCCCCCCACCGACGTCTCCTTCCCCGACAACGGCGTCCTCCTCCCCCACCCCGGCTCCCTCCTCCCACCTCGGCGGCACCCCTCCCCGACACCGGCGTCCTCTCCCACCACGGCGACTCCTTCGCCCACACCGATGTCTTCATCCCCGACCCCGGCGTCCTCCTCCCACATCCCGGGTCCTTCCTCCACACACCAGCGGCGCCCCTCCCCGACACCGGCGTCCTCCTCCACAGGGAGCTCCTGACGCCCTCAAATTTGGCGGCCATGGGGCTCCCCGTGTAGGCTCTCCCCCCCCCCTATATGCCGCAATTGTATTTTTTAGTTGTTTCATACGCTTCAGAGGTATGTTGTAGTTGAATCATAAGGATGTTGCACAAGTAGAAGATCTGGGGGATGTTTTGCCCATGTTGCATTTTGTTTCAAAGGTTTTGTTGCAGGCACTGTTTCAAAATGTTTCACTTGTTTCTAGATGATGTTGCAATCGTTCTGATCTAGATGTTTCATATGCTTGGCACAAATGTTGCAATAATATTTTTGAAATGTTTCAGTTGCTTCAATCTCATGTTGCAGTAGATGTTCCATGTTGTTGCAAGTGTTTTTATTCGAGCATTGTTTCATATGCTTCACACCCAGTGTTACAATAATATGTTACAAATGTTTTAGCTCCTTCAACCTATTGTTGCAGCAGTTTGTTCCGTGTTGTTGCAATAATATGTTCATGGTATTTCAGCTGCTTCAACCTAATGATAAAGTAGTTGTTTCCATGTTGTTGCAATAATATGTTCATGGTGTTTCAGCTGCTTTAGCCTAATATTGCAGTAGTTGTTTTCGTGTTTTTGCACGTGTTTTATTCCAACTTTCTATGTTGTTCAGCGGGGGGGCGCGTGGCTCGCCGGAGGGATAGTGGACGGAAGCGTTGGGGGTGAGCGGATTGGGGTGTGGCGGTCAGGGGGGCGATAGGGCATGCTCGTCGTGCACGTGGGGCGGTGCAAAGGGGGACTCAGCGGGCTGTGGAGACAAGCAGCAGGGGCGAGGGGCGAGCTAGGGGCGCGCGCGGCGCGAGCGGCGCGGGGAAAAAAGCACAGAAGAAAAACGGAGGAGTGTGGACCTCCGTCATATAGACATGCAAGAGCTTGCGTCCACGGCACCGTCCGATGAATCGATAACTCAGGATGAAAAAAAACTTCCGGAAAATAAAAGGACTCGCTCGCCTTAGCCAGGTCGTCAGCACGTACCGCTTCGCCCGCCGCCGCTCCGATCGCCCGCCTCCCTCTTCCCCGGCTACCCCCGCTCCACCTGCCGCCGCCACTCCCATCGGCCGCCTCCGTCTTCCCCCTGTTGCCCCCGCTCGCCGCCGCCGCCACCGCGGCCGCAGAGTGCCGCCCCCATCACTCGCCTCCCTCTGCCCCACGCGTGCGCCTCCCTCTTCATCTAGGTGTTACTGAACGCGGCGCGCCCCCGTCGTCCGCCTCCCCACCGCATGCCGCACAGCCGAGCTCAAGGCATGATCCCCACCGCCAAAGCAGAGGAGCAGACGCCGTCAACGGAGTGGCTGGCCCAGAGGTTCAACCAACAATGGTTTATTTGAGAACGCTGGTGAGTTCTTCTGTAGCCTTTTACCGTTTTACCACCGTCGCAGATCTCCAGGGCTCCCCCCTCTTCATCTCTTGCAGTGCTAAGCGAGTTCCTTTTGATGTGATTTGGTCTAGCTGTGGTTTTTTGTCAGATGCAATTAGTACACGGGTGTTTTTTTTTTTTGTCAGATGCAATCAAATTAAATGCAGTGTGTTTAGTTTCAAGTTTTTTCCCCTGTGCATGGTGTTTAATTAAGTGCCTCTCACTTGTAGGATGGTTGAATGTCAATTACCGAAGGTTTGTTCTGAGTATCTCATAGGTTCATTTTCTTATCTTCAAATATGAGCCTTCTATGTTCAGACGACCATTTACAGGAAGTCTTGAGTGATGCAATCTCAAATTTTCGTGTCATGCAGCATATGTCTTTTGTTGGCTGCAAGGAGCAAAAAGAAAAGCTGATGGAAGGAAAACAATAAGGGATGAATGAGCATCTTCCAGACATAAACACATTGCATCAGCAATTCGAACCTCGACTGCCTACTATTGCCACTCTCATTGCCTTTCTTTCGCCTGCTTGATATCCTTTTGTCCTTCAAATTACTGAGCATCATTGCTAAGCTGTTGCCATATTTTCTGTTGATCAATTTTCAGTTTCAGCTGCACTGGTGCATCCCTACAGCTGAATTGCATTGTTTTCCTTGAAATTTCAGTTCACATAGCAGCGGAGCAGCATGTGGAACCTGAAACTAAAATGATTGGCGTAAA